CAGGCTGGACATTAGGAAGTATTACTTTTCAGAAAGGGTGGTCAGGCACTGGAATGGACTGCCCAGGGAGGTGGTGGAGTCACCGACCCTGGGGGTGTTCAAGGAAAGGCTGGATGTTGTGTTGAGGGACATGGTTTAGTGGGAGCTATTGGGAATAGGTGAACAGTTGGACTGGATGATCTTCTAGGTCTTTTCCAACCTTGGTGATTCTATGATTCTATTAGCCACAGCTGAGGGGCTGGGTAGAGGCATGGGATAGCTGTTAAACTTCCCCAAAAGGGAACCAGCCACCACGGTTTGCAACTTGAAGATATTGCATACATCTGGGGATATTAAAATCCCATTTCCAATGCAATAATAACAATAAAAAAACTAAAATCTTTCTTCTGCCTTAGGTCTTTTTGGTGACTGGAGAGCAGAGCTCAAGAGATGAAGTTGAGCTGAAGCACAGATTCCCTCTCTGAAGGAATTGCATCTTGATGGGGCCCTGACCTCTGCTTGGACTCCCAGGTGCAATGTCATGAAAATCATCCTTTCCTAAGAACAAGTGCTGGGTATCAGCACATGGGGGAGGACAGAAATGAGGAAAGGAAGGATGAGGGCAATGTGTCGGATGATGTCTGCACTTCACAATGGTATGAAGGACCACGGGTAAATTCTTCATGCTGATGGTTGCATGACTTTCAGACCCCATGAGCTGGATGTAGCTGTCTTAGACTGATAAGATCCTTCCCCCTCAAAACACAGCCTTCAGGAGCATCAGGAGCTCTGCTTACCGCTTGCTGCTTTGCTCCTGCCTTGCAAAAGGAATAAAATAATGGTGATCTTGTTAAGAGAAATGCATTTGTCAGCACTGAATTATAATATGAACTGACAGTGGATCTCAGTGATAAAGACGGAGCTTAATGCGGATGGCAATTTTGCAGGGACCTTGCTAACATATGTTATCCACCAGCTTTCTTTTGTTCACTGCTGTGAATTATCAACTGACTCAAGGCAATAGAGGGAAAAAAGTTACATTTCTCACTGTGTCACTTTCCTAACATCATCCAAAGCTCACTGTAATAATTTAATTTTGCAGAGAAAGCACAGAGTTTATTACATTTCTCCTCCCACCCATCACCAGCACTCTGTAGACAGGTATTGAAGGTGATTGACCAAATGTTGTGATTCATAGTTAGCTACAAAATTCTTAAGAAATTCATTTCTCTCAGGAAAAAGAAAAAAAGAAAAAAAAAAAGAAAACATTTACTAGTCCTCCAGAAAGGAAGCTTGATCCAATGCATGATCAGAACCAATCTTTAACAAGGAAAATTCAATAAGACTTGTAGATTAAGATTGCAATTAAACAACCTCAGGAAAAATTTTCTGTTCAGCTTTAATAGAAAGCAATATTTTTTGTGCAAAGCATTTCTGTTGAAAATAGGGGTCATATAGAACATGACTAAACATCACTCTGATATTTGTTACTTTTTCACGAAAAAGTGAAACTTTGGTGATTATTTCAGAAGTTATTTTGTTAGAAACAGTAATTAAAGAATTGCAACAAATGCACTTGAAGCTGTGTATTTATACTGCTCAAACTGAGAAACTTCTGAGGACGGTTGATCCAAGCAAAGTTATAGAATGAAGCTGAGTTTCTTCCTCAATTCCTTCAAATGTATGAATGTCCAATATTTATGTTAAAATCATATCTGTCAATAATCCTGAGCCATTTTCCTGTAGCTAGCCTCAGTTTTCTGCGTAGTGAGGAATTCCACAAGTAAAAGGAATTTCCTTGATGATCTGTAAAGGCACAATCTTTCACCACTACAGTCTCAAAAGTTACCTCACCAAAGCTATTGGTGCTGGCCGTATTTTATAACATTCAGCAGAACATGTACATATTGAGTCAACCTCTCTAATCTGGAAACCCCCACTATTCACACCAAATTTAAGTACCACTTCTGAAAAATGTGGAAAATAACCTTTAAGGTAGTCATTAAGAGTACTGCTAGGAGTGTCATATAAATATCTTATTTACAAAAGTGTTGAATGTCATATATTCAGAGGGAGATGTGCCAAAAACTGCTAATTACACTATTACTTAATGCCAAACAGGTAATTGCATTCAGCCCACTTAAATGCTTGCTGCAATCTAGGTTGCTTCAGCAGCCGAGGAAGCATTACAGAAGCACAGAATTGTAAGGGTTGAAAAGGACCTCTTGGAGATCATCTAGTCCAACCTGCCTGCTAAAGCAGGTTCCCTAGAGTAGGTTGCACAGGAAAGAGTTTAAGAGGGTTCTGAATATCTCTAGAGAAAGAGACTCCACAACCTCTCTGGGCAGCCTGTTCCAATGCTCTGTCACTGTGTTCTAAGTCAAGAAGTTTTTTCTCATGTTTGTATGGAACTTTCTGTGCTCCAGTTTGTGCCCATTGTCCCTTGTTCTGTTGCTGGATAGTGTTAAAAACAGTCTGGCAGCATCCTCTTGACATCCGGCCTTTAGATTTTTGTAAGCATTGAGAAGATTCTCTTTCAGCCTTTTATTCTACCGGCTGAATGGTCCCAGGTCTTTCAGCTTTTCCTCATTAAAGAGATGCTCCAGGCCTCATCTTCCTAATCCTCTGCTAGACTCTCCAGCAGTTCCAGACTTCTAAACATGGATCCAAACCTCATTGCCCATTGATTTCTCCCTGCTTTTATCCCTTCCCATTCAGATAACCAGGAGGGTTTGTTTTTTTTGTTTTTTTCTTTTTTTTTTTTTTTCCCCCCCAAGCCAGAGACACTTGCAAATACTCTTTTTCTCCCTTGAAATATTTCAATTTCTTTACATACTTTCTGTCCTTTGTACAGCTCTCCTCTGGGTTATCTTCTGATTCTTGGGACAGAGGTGACCATCACTTGCCGAACTTAGCCCATTCTCCCCAGCTGATGAATTCCTGTTAGGTTATTTTTTCTGCACACCCATTTTGAATTATTTGCTTTGCTTAGATATATGTTGGTTCAGCAATGGAATTAACGCTCACATTCCTTTTTATGCCTCAAATCAATTTCTGGTCAAAAGGCCAACCCGGAAGCAAGGTACACACACACACACACATAAATATATATATCTTTGGAACTTTTCTGGAGAGTTGCCCAAGATTTGTGCCAAGCTAGGAGGAAGCACATCAATACAATGCACAGGACTGATCTGCAAATCTAATCCTAATTATTTTGCAGACAGCCAAGCCACCAGGTATGGTGGTCCCAAGCACTGTGCAGAGCTTGTATGCAAAAAATATGAAACATACCAAACAAACAGTGGTAAAATTTGTCATCACGTTAATGCAGCCAGGAGGTAATCAGAGACAATTTAACAGATGTTTCAATGCTTAAGCCAGAACAAACAGAACAGATAATTTTCCCTACTTTCTCTTCAGAAGCAAGTGCCAGAAAGTTCTGAAATTTCACTGTGTAGCACATGAAAAAAAAAGATAATTTTTTGATCATCAACAAAGGCAATGTTTGCAGCCAGGCAATCCCCAGAACCAGAAGCCAGGCTATAAGTCCAGGCTGCTGTATGGGAATAGCAAGGGTGTAGTGTCATCTGTTGATTCCTGATGGCTCTTGTTTGAGTACAAGAAATTTTGAAATATTGCACACTACTCTTAACTGGAAGCAGATTGCTTAAGGGTATGAACAAGAATCATAAAATCATAGAACAGTTTGAGTTGAAAAAGACCCTTAAAAGCCATCCAGATCAGCTCCTTTGCAATGAACAGGGACATTTACAGCTAAATCAGGTTGCTCAGCTTCGTTCAGTCTGACCTCGGATGTCTCCAAGGAAAGGGCATCCCCACCCTCTTTGGGCAACCTATGCCATTGTCTCTGAGTAAAAAACATATTCCTTTTATCCAGTCTAAATCTCCCTTGTTTTAGTTTGAAACAATTTCTCTTTGTCCTATCACAACAGTTCCTGCTAAAGGATCTTTCCCCTTCTTTCTTATAGCCCCTTCTTAGACACACAGTATCCCATCCCACTGTCAAAATCACTACTTTTCTGAACTTCAGGGCTGATAGAACGTCATATCTTTTTTCTACTTTCTTTTTTTCCTATTTTTTTTCCCCTACACCATGTGATTTTGCAAGAAATGAATGAAACACATGCTCACTCACTGCCTATGCGATCCTCCTGATTGCAGAGAGGTGTCCCAGGGCACACATCAATGAGGAATACAGCCCAGAGGTCACAAGCTCAGATTGCAAAACTCCCACACTTAATTCACAGCTCTAATTATACCATCAGCTGTCATTACTACTGTTATTAGGATCTGTCATCCCGACCTATCAAGGAGGGCTAGGGGAGAGCAAGTGCCCTGGGTATTATGCAGGAATCAGGGCTTCAGCAACCAAGGATCCTGCACCTGAGGCTGCAAAATTAAGCTGTTTTAAAGCAGTTGGTATAGAAACTTCAGATGTGAGGTGGTTTTTACACAGCTGCTTCCTCTCTCCATGCATGTGTCTGAGGGGTTGCTTTTTTCTGGTATTTCCCACTCTCTGTAGTTTGAAGACTATTAAGCCTCACTCTCCTAACCAGAGGTCTGGTCTCGTGATGACAGCTGATGAACATTACAAAAAATCACTGTGTAATTTCAGATAATCTCTTTTTATCCATAGATATACATCTCTTTGGGAGAAGGGAGGAATAGAGAGAGCAAAGGGTTAAAGCTCCTACCTTCCCCAGAAAGCGATGAGTTTGCTGGGCAATGAGTATGCTGGCTCGCATCTATCCACCCCAAACGTGAAAGTTGTGTAATAATCCCTTCCTTAACCTTTACTCAATCGTCATCAGCACAGTGATTCACCCAGTGCCGCCATCTGCTTTCTCTGGAACTGTGAGCTGAAACCCCAGACGAAATCAAGCAGTGTGAGGATGGGGAGAGCTGCCATCCCCACAGCCCACTCCTACCCAGGCTCCCACCCCCAAGTGACAGCTGTAGGGTTATATTTATCACAGGTGTGCAGTTGGCATTTGACATTTAAAAAAAAAAAAAAAAAAAAAAAAAAAAAAAAAAAAAAAAAAGCTGCTCTTTCTTTGCAGCAAGACTTCCCCTGCATTTGCCATTTTGAAGGTTTTGCAGTAATTAGACAGTCATCTTCATGACTGCCTCACCCAAACTTTGCTGGAGATTAAACGCATCTTCCCCGTGACAACAATTTCAGCCCTAGCAGGATCTAAAAAAGGGTTTTAATCCTGGTTATTTTCTGTTCCGCTTAATTGCCTTACCCAAAACTTACACTTCGTATAAAGACAATCCATCTTTTCCTCACTTGCTTCTGAAATAATCATTATCCTCCTCTGCAGAAATTAAATATATATATATATATATTAAAAAGTGATATGGGTTAGAAGGAAACTTGACATTGAAAACAGACTCCCAAACCATGGATATCTTGAATAATCCAAAGACTTCACAGAGTTACTTTTTGGAGCTAAACGAGCATTAATGAAGGATGTTTCCCCCCTTCCTCCCCTGTGCTGCTTCCCCTCCCCTTTCCTCTTCCACTGAGAAGTTTCCATGAGTAATCCCAAAAACAATATTTAGATGACTGAAATGTTAGAGCATAATGTTACTGCATAACACAGCATGTCCAGAACTTTCCACTGGGATGGAAATCTTTTATTTTCAATATATTAAAGGAGAAGTAAATATTATGGTGAGGAGAAAAACGGATGCTTTGAGAAATTATTTTACATTTTTGCTGTTTCCCTACCTTTATGTCAACTCTTTTGGAACAACATCAGATTTTCTAGGAAGTGGCTTGCTGAGAATAGAATCTGAATGCTTTTTTTGGGGATAAAGTCAGGTTTGATATTAGGAAAAACTTCTCCAAATGAGTGGTGCATTGGAATGAGCTACCTCATGGTAGAGTCACCATCTCTTGAGGTGTTCAAGAAAAGTGTGGTACGTGGGGACAAGGTCTAATGGACAGTATTGCTGATAGATTGACAGTTGGCCTAGATGATCTTAGAGGTCTTTTCCAACCTTAATGATTGTATGATTCTATGAACTGTCATGCACTCCCTGCTTTTTGCTCCTATTGCATTTCTGAGCAGATGATCAGATCAACTACCATTCCTACAGACTACTAAAAATGCTGGTATGTTTTTCCTGGCTTTCAAGACAATGCAAAATACTTCTGCTGCCTTCATATGGCACTTATGCAGTATCACAAACAGCGAAGTCAGCTGCTGCCTTTACCAAGCCAAACCTTCATCCCCAGTGTAATTTATCAGCCTAGTCTTCCTCATTTCAAATTTAATCTCTTAGAGATTTAAATTCAGAAAACTCATAGCTGATATTCCCAGAACTGTGTAGAGCAGCCATCTTTCCGGGATAAAAATTTTGTGACAGTAAAGCACATTTCCGTGCAAGATTGAGATGATTTGGGGGCAGCTCCTTGCTTTTCCCCAGACTTTCTGTTTGACTGTGGGTAAGCCCCACCATTTCACCAGGAAGTAGTTTATCATCTCTGAAATGGTGCTGAGGCTATAAACTCACTGTCTTACTGATGGGAGTATTAAAATTCCGCAAAGAAATAATATATGCAGGTCTCTTCCAAAGAGGCTGTGGTTTTGGTGGAGATTCCCATTCTAAATAAGCCTGCATAGGTAGCGCCAATGGTACCAACCACAGTACAGACCTACTTCAAGTTTAGCTCAGGTATATCAAAGTTATAAAGCAGACACAGCAGTGAGTCATGTAATACGGAGAGGGTTAAAGACGGGAATACTGATTATCTTTTAAACACTGAATCTGCAGTATGAATGTGGTAAGACCAATAGGAAACCTGTTATTTATCAGTATTGCTTTCAGAGTCAACCTGCTACTCAAATCCATTAAAAAAATTTTGGTGCACTGAATTGGTCCAGGCAAGGATTATTTTTTCAGTGGTTGGTTTTGACTGCACTTTGGCTATTTACAGCCCACAATTCCCCATTGCATCAGAATCAAATCATACAATTGTTTGAGCTGGAACAGACTGTTAAAGGTCATCTACTCCAATTCCTCTGCAGTGAATAGGGACACCTACAGTTCAATCAGGTTGCTCTGAGCCCCGTCCAGCCTGACTTTGAATGTCTCCCAAGGACAGGGCATCCACTGTATGCTTCGGCCTTGAGCAAAGCAGATTTTCTTTTTCCACATATAAAAATAAAAAAAATCTCAGTGGAAATTCACAAGTTCCACAGTCACTTTGCTGATCTAGCCAGCTGGCCACCTTCTTTCATGCAAAATGTTTCACATGAACAGTTCTTGCTTTATGCTTTGTAACATTTTCATGTAACTCATGAGAAGTGATTCATATTTCTTTGGTATTCTCCAAAGATCATACTTAGAAATTGAATTCTTAGAAATTTTTAATTCCCTTGTGTAGGTGGGACTGTGGGTGCTGTGCTCAGGTTCATTATGATAATACAGTCTCAGAAAGTGTCACATAAGCCACTTTACAGTAATAAACAATAATAATCATGAATTCACAAAAGTCTCAAGCTTCTGATCTAAAAAAAAAAAAAAAAAAAAAAAAAAAAGTACAGTGGAGCCAAGAATAACATATCTGAGAGTGTTATTTTGCCTTTACAGCAGTCAGTTGTTCTTACATTTAATGTATGTGAATGAAAACAGTAATAGTAAATTAACAAATAATTTGAACGGTAGATTGGAATTTGAGGTCCGTGCTTGAGTCTGTGCCTTGCTATGACACTTTAAGAATGATTTCAGGAAAACTACTGAATCCTTATTTTCTCCTATAAAATGTGCTACATATATTTTGATCCTAAACTCTCCTGGTGGAAAAAGATGGAGTAAATGCTGAGCCTGTATATTGCTTAACAAGGCAGGAAAGTGACAAGAAGGAGGGATTGAAGATACTGGTGATTTCTGCTAGGAATGTTCAGTGATTCTCTTTGCAGCTCAGAATCCAGAAGTGATTAAAATAATGAATCTTCAAAGACTTTTTTTTTATATATATAATGGGATTTTTTTTCTAGTACTTACATATATATTGAAATGGAAATTTGATGTTATTTAATTATTGGTACTTAGATATTATGCTGAGTCAAATATCGCATGAAAATTTCCTAATTTTCAGTATATTTCACTTCTGTTATTGTTGTGGTGGTGAAGATGAGGAACTGAAAAAAAAAAAGTTAGGAATTACAGTTCAAGAACAAGAAAGATAAGAGAGGGTTTTTTTGTTGGTTTTTTTTTTTTTTTCAACTACAAAATACAAAATTTTGATGAAAACTGGCTGATGCTTTATACTTGGTCTGAATTTACTGACCCAGACAGTTTCTACTTCTGTCAATACTATTGTCATGTCTAAGACCTCAAAAGATGCTAATGTGTGCAAAGAGAATTCAGCTAGAGGAAGGGAACCTTTGACTTTAATCCCTGCTCCTAGATTTGTACATTTTACATTAAAAAGTCATTTGATGAAGTAAAATAAAAGCACTTGGCACTTTACAGCACCGAAGTTCTTTAATGGATCTAATCTCCTGCCATGACCAACCCCTGCAGCAGGCTGCCCTTGGATCCATGACACCTTTGTTAACATGAATGTATTCCCAATGCTTGAACCTCTCTTTGAAACTGAAGAAATCAGATGGGATTGAAGATTAAAGTAATGTTCATTCACTGCTGTTTTTCACCAAGTAGAACAATTTGCTGTAACTGCAATTAAGAAAATGTTTGTAAAATATAGGAACTTTGTTAGAATGACTCTTTAAATTGGTTTTGTGAGAGATGCCTATCTTAGAGCAAGATCTCCCATTATATGGCCATGGCCAGCAGCCCGCTCCAAACTCTTACACCAGTACCTCCAACAGTAGGATTTGGTGAGGCCTTTACTAGCTCCCCTTCATCCCTGCTCAAGCCTTAGCTTTTGTTCCTTGGTGAAAATTGAGATTAGAAAAAACTCTCTGAGAAGATATGTTGTAAATGAGATAAATAGGAAATTCTTTCTTTTTTTTTTTTTTTTTTTTTTTTTTTTTTTTTTTTTTTGTCCTGAGCTGTTCATCAGCTTCAACATTGAAGCTGCTGCATTTGATTTATATGCAGCTTTTCAACTTCACAGAAATATCTGCGGTTGCCTTGCTTTTGGTATACACACAGTAGTCAATTTGTGTGTTTTAAAAACATAGGAGTAAATAATTTTTATTTTATTTTTAATTGAACTCAATTAGAAGAAGAATGTAAGGGGATCTTTCCTTGGCTTTACCAAGCTTTGCAGCTTGGTAAGGAAAAAAAGGCCATGCAAGTCTACCTCTTTACTATTTTCAGTTTTCTCCTTTCATACACATTTTTGATGTTTTAGTTTGAAAGTCTTTCACAGAGAACATAACATTAATAGTCACATTCCAAAGAAATTTTTCACACTCACAGATTAATGCAGAAATATTTATTTAGAAACAGCAGAAAGTAAGTCCTCCTTAACTGTTGTCAAGTGACAAATGCATTAAAGGTTAAGACAATGTCCATGGCTCACTTAGGTAAATACTATCAGTCTGAATCTCCTTTTAAGCAGGAGATAACCAAACCCACTCAAGAAATAACAGCAAACATAGCAAGACAAAGTAAACTCATGTTAAAAGAAATTAGTATCTAACAAAACAGGGTAACAGCTTAACAAGCTACTGTTGCAGCACAAATCTCCTTTAAGTACCAGGAAATAAGCCACTCAACCTTCATCACTAAAGTGAAGTCCCTACTTGTAAAACTTCAGATGGCTGAAAACTCCTTTGATTTGATGCAAATCAGAGAGGCTTTTTCTGTTGGTTTTTTTTTTTTTTTTTTTTTTTTTTTTTTTAAGGTGTTATTGGCTTCTAATGTAACTATGTGCTAGGTGAGCTGAATAAAAAGACAAAAGATGAGCAAACACAAGATAGCATAACTTCTCCGTGCTTATACATTCATTGAGGATGGGCAAATTTAAAAACAACAATAGCAACTCTTAAGTGTTTGCACTTCTGTTGATTTCCCTCTTTCATCTTCTGGTGTAAGGTAATGTTTAGTGTAATATCTCG